TAATTTAAAGGCTAAGTGCATGTACCTAGACCTATAGAGTGCTGAGATGTTACGATGTTGCAGCTGTAGGACTTATTTTATTTCTTTGTTCCAACTTTCAAGTGGCCTATAGTCTACGCTTGTTACGAATAAATGATGTTAAAACATATAAATGACTCATTCTTGAAAAAAATGCATTAGAGCTGTGTGCATGAGCACATTTTAATGTTGGGCTGTGAACGGGTTCGCGCTGTATAAAGCTGTCAATCAAAATGTACCTGTCGGACTCGGGACCTATCGGGTATAATTTTTATTGCCCGATTACAGCTCTGCATTCCCGCGGGAGCCGGCCAGATTTCTTATGGTGTGGGAGTAAATTTCTGAATAAATCGCGGGAGAGATGTGTGTGTGTGTGCATGTGTAAAAGAGAGAGAGAGAGAGAGAGAGGTGCTATGCGTCTCTCTCTCTCTCTCTCTCTCTCTCTCTCTCTCTCTCTCTCTCTCTCTCTCTCTCTCTCTCTCTCTCTCTCTCTGACCGCGAGCCTAAGGTCGCATAGAATGTATTCAGTTTCTGAATGGTTTAGGCTTAAGCCAACAGTTAGGTGATGCTGTCTGACCCTTACGTCATAATTTTTTTTGTTACGCCGGTAATACCGGATACCGGGGTAAAATATGGAGGCGGTTTGACGGTATCAAAATTTGGATACCGCCCAAGCCTAGTGTCAGGGTTTATTTTGCAGCGTCCCGCTGTAAGCTGTCAGGAGAGGTGGTGGTTTGGTGGTGATTGACAGGGTGCGCGCACGCAACGTGTCTGAGGAGAGACGCGGTGGGGAGGGGTGAGAAGGGTGCGCGACAATGCCTACTTGAGGACCGGTAGGGAGACGCGAGATTACCGGGAGATCATCACTCGTTTGCAGGCATCCGGAGACTCGCGAAACTTCCCGCCCTTCTCATAATTCTCTCTTTATATAGCCGTAAGCCTATTACACATATCCATAAAACACTGTGATATAACCGCGCTCGGATCGGATCGCTTTCTCACTGCAATCGAACCGCTCCAGGGTTCGTTTCAATCGAGCCGAGACCACCTCATTCAAGCAATCTCGGAGCGATTACTTTGGCGCGGAACAGAGCGCGATTACCCTGTTCACATATGCCAATCAAACCGCGCTAACTGGGCAAACGAGATACGTTCCGAAACAAAAGTGTAGGTGTGAAAGCACCCTAAATCAGCATCTTTGGAGATGTTTTCTGCCGAGTTGTCCAAAAAAAGTTTAAGAAAAATGGAAAAATAAAACCTTACATATACCATAGTAACGGTATAGCAGCAGAAAATTTTGGATGTTTTAAAACCATTTTCAAACTGCGGTATACATTGAAACGGTTAGCGTCTCATGCCTAGTTGAGCATCTATTTTAACCCTATTAAACAGGGTTCTATACAGCTGCAGACAATTACATAAATTAAATACCTTAGTTAAAAGCACAGATATCTTAAACAGACATGTGATCAGTCAAAAACCCTTGAATCTTGAAAAAAAGCAACATTCTCCAAATGATCAGCATTTACACATCCACAAACAAGTATTTAGCTCTGCCACGTTGTTAGTAAACAGTGCCTGGAGGGAAGTGACGACACATTGTCTGTGGCTCAGCAGTCATGCCCAAGTATAATTTACAACGTGCAGAAGATGTGTGTTTGCTTTAGGTTTTAATTTGAAGTAAAATCTCACTTTGCAAGTAAGCATTAAGAATTATTTGAGTAACAACACCAGAGTACTGTCACAACGCAACAATTGGGTGGTGCATGTTTATTTGCACTTCCTTTAAATCTACACTCCCCTAAACAAATACTATGCATGTGGATAAGGTCATTGTTTAGAGAGACTTTCGTTTTTATGCGGTTGAAACAGCACATCAATGGTTTCATTTCCAATGCCAAAAATTATGTTTTCATGTAAACAAACAGGCAAAATAGTATAAAAAAATTCAAATTTTTCGCTAAAATGGTTTGTGCAATTAGCAAAGTTCTAAATTAATAGGGTAACTGAAAAGAATCTGTCCATGAGTGAGACACAGGTTATGATTTTGCCTTCAAAATAAGGAATGACGTGTTCTTTGTGTGAATAGTAGTGGAGTACAGTTATTACAGACATTATTCTTTGGAATGTAGCGAGATAAAAGATACCAAATAAAAAAACATAATATAGGTGGATAAATGTGCTTTAGTACAGTAACAAGAGGGAAAACCACTGCTGGTTCAATACATTTGCCCTGCTCAATGTTGGGACTTGTGGAACTGCTCATAGTTGGATTCGCTCTTCAGTGTTTGGACTTAACCACACTAAACTGAACTTCAACTATGAAAATTGTTTCATTTTACAATGTAGAATTGCTTCTACATTGTAAAAGCGCTATAGAAACGAAGATTAAATCATGTGGATGACATTCATATGTAATCAATTTTCATTTGAAAGCAAGACATCTTTCAGGTTGAAATCTTACTTTGCTTCAAGCTAAAACCTTTTTTGGGGGTGAACTAACACTTTAATCAGCTTCTTATTCTCAATTTCACATTTGGTGTGGACAAAAAAAACCATCACCTACACATCTAAAAGAACTAACAACATGAAGATGACATTCACACATTTCACTAAACCCCTACTGGATAAATACATGGACTCGAAGGCGGACACTTACTTTGCAATGGTGATGTAGGCATCCGTCTGCGCTGAAAGCCCAGCTGATTCATCTTCCAAACACTCCAGAAGAGGAAGGAGGCTGGTACTGGATAAAGGCACTGCCGCCATCATCCTCACAACCTGAAAACATACCAAAGTAATAAACACAAAATCAACTACAAGACACAACAATGCAATAAAATATAACGGTTTTATTTGAGTTGTGCAGTTGGAGCAGAGCAAAACTTGAAATTCTTGACCTCTGACCTTTAAACAATATATTTAGAACAAAAAGACCCCTAGGACATGTGGGACATTTAAATGAATTCCACCATACTTAAGTTGTGCATCAAGTATTCCAATTCTGGACCAGCAGAACAAAATGACATTTAATGAATAACCAGCATGTGCAAGAAGAAAAAAAAACTACAATTCATAGTAAAATGGCAGTAAGTTTGTAAAACATTCAGTGCATCGTTTTCTGTCGATACACAAACATCAATAATGTATACAAAACAAAACCATGATGTTAATTTGTTTATTCATTAGTTTATAAAACATCTGGGCAAACAAAACCACACACACACACATCATGCATGGGATGTTTAGCTAGCCAGGTGCACGATATGCTAACAACAACATGCGATCCGTTATTATTAAACCTCCGTGACAAAAACATCATCACGTATTCACTTTTTGATATACAGTTTTTAACAAAAGGACGTACCTCGGTCCGTCTTTAAAGCCTTATATGCAAATTTAATGGCAGATTATCGTCTGTACTTAAAAGCTATTGCGTTATCATGTGCGTTGTGCGTCGTGCTCCTCGCCTGCAGCGAACAGGGAGATCAAAATGTGAAGTTTACTAAAAAACGTATAAACATCGAGTATATTTTTGCCGTAATCAGTCTAATCCAACAGGAACTTCGCCTACAAAGACTGCAGAGTTAGCGAGCTAGTTACCCTCATCATGTTACCCACCCAACCCCCTGAGCACGCCACTGCTCAACACGTCTCACCTCGCGACTGAGGACTCGCTGACAGGCTCTGAAGGCGATTTCATCAAAACTCAAACTATATCAGAGGAATCGGAGGAGTTTATAGCGTAAAGTGCTGCTAAATGTTCTCGACTACGCTGCGTCTGTCCACTCCTCACTCCCCGCGAAAATGCTGGCGCCAAACATGACGCGTTAAAAACGTCACCTTCAACCCCACGTCAGCTCCTCCCTTTTATAAATTATTTATACTTTGCCACTAGTTGAATGAAAATTCCATCAAACTAGGGAATATTGGTCAGTTGTTTATCATAAGTAAAATTCGGACCTAGCATTTGCAAATATTTGCCTCACGTCGTGTCATCAAGAGACCCACAAGAGTGCTACAGATACTTTAAAATTGATTTTTTTATGTAAAAACAGGCTATTTGATTGATTACATTTAATTTAGCTAATTTGTATATTTCAAGAAAACATTTTCTTATGCATTGCTGAGTAACTACGAATAAGAATGTCCACAGTAATGTTGCATCATCAGCTTTGTTTGTTTATTTATTTTTCATTTCTTCAAAATATGAACCATTCATAAAAATCTGAGTAGTTTTTGTTTTAATGCATAGCATTTGCTTTTTGGTAAACAATTAAAAAACCTTAGATAAACCTTAGACATTAGATACATCAATTACAACAGATGTTTGTAAGCATTAGGTGTAAACCACTCTTTATAATGTTCTCCATTGCCACTGATGCTTCTAATTCATAGAACCTTTCCAATGAAAAAAAGTTTATTTATGGTATAATAACATCTTTTGAATAATTCAAATGTCTTTCACACTTATAAAGGGGTTGTTATAAGGATAAAACAGAACATTCTGTCATTGTTTACTCACCCGTTACTTGTTACAAACCTGTTTGACTTTCTTTCTTCTGTTCTTCCATTGGACATTAAAAAGCATATTCTGAAGAAAGATGGAAACCTGTAACCATTGACTTGCATAGTATTTGTTTTTCTTACTTCAACATGTCAAATGTTACCGATAGTTAGCTCTCGTCAAAATATTTATTTTATGATCTAATAAAGGTTTAAAACCAATTGAGAGTGAGTAAATTGTGAAAATTGTTATTTAATTTTTGGGTGAAAGTCTTTTCAGAAATGCTTTCTGAAAGCTTCTGTGGGAAACTCAAAGTGGTTTTTAGCATTGCTGTGAAATTCCCTTTTGGATTTTCCTTTTTTATTATATATACTTAAATACAATGAGGCGTTTCTGAAAATATGCATTTTACATGGAAAAAAAATGCACCATACAGGTTTGAAACAACATGACAGTAAATGATCACAGACTTCACTTTTACGCAAACTTTCGCTTTAATACAATGTTTTTAAAACAATCAGTTTTGTCTTAATTTAAACAGATGTATATAACTGTAATTCTAAGCATTATAAGCAAGTTATATTTCCAAGAGAATAATATATATAACTAAAAGATTGTAACTTATAGATTTTTATTAAATGGTGTTCACATTAAAACACTGCAACATACTGTTTTAAACACACTGTCAAACACTATTATTGGACAAATTAAATAAAATATTGTAAGTGTGTTTGAGAAATGTTCACAGGCCCATGTTAAATCTGTGATTATTTATTGCTTCAATATTGCACCAGTGATTTAAGTAAAAATATAAAATAGACAGTTGTTAAAAAAAGCTGAGGGTTTGTTGTATTAAAAATGCAGTGGTCAAGAGAAGGAGTCAGCAAGAAGGTCAAAGAGCTGTGAGGAGTTCACAGAGATGTACTGCAGCTTAAAGCCTCCAGCTGTCACCGAAGAATCAGAGAGAAACTTCAGAGTCATGACGTTTCCTAAGACAAAATACACAAACACACAAGGTAATACTATAACCAGTTGTACTAAAATAGAATTGATTATTTGTGGATCCTTAATGCCCTAGCACAATTTAAATACTTATAGAGTGCTTGTCACATTCATTTATTTTCTTTTCGGCTTAGTCCTATAATTAATCAGGGGTTGCCTCACCGGAATGAACCGCTAACTTATTCAGCATGTGTTTTACGCGATGGATGCCTTTCCAGCCACAACCCAGCACTGGGGAAACACCCATACACTCTTGCATTCACACCCACAAATACATTATGGCCAATTTAGCTTATTCAATTCATCTATAGCATGTCTTTGGACTGTGGGGGAAACTTGAGCACCCACGCCAACATGGGGAGATCATCCAAATTCCAAACAGAAATGCCAAATGACCCAGCCGGGGTTCAAACCAGCGACCTTCTTGCTGTGAGGCGACAGCGCTACCCACTGTGCCATAATGTCGCCTCTGTTTGTCACATAAAACAACTTATTCACTATTTACACTAGTAAAATCAAGGTAATGTAAATAGTATGCTATTGAAAATAATGGTAGATACTATTTGGACCTCAGTGTTTTGTAATATATTGTAAAACAGTCTGCACTTATCCACCCTGAACATGCAGATCAGCGAAGGTGTCCATGAAGGTTCAGGAAGGGAGCCACGATTATATGGTTTTAAACATATAAATTACATGCAGTGGTGGAAAGAGTACTGAAAAATCATACTCAAGTAAAAGTTTGATTACTTACCCAAAAATGTAGAACACAAAGAGTAAAAGTATTTGTTGTATATATTACTTAAAGTAGGCGTAAAAAGTAGACCTTTTAAAAGTACTCAAGGGTAGTGAGTATTATGCTGGGAGAGTGTGATGCGTTCAATGTGTGCATGTGTGTAAAAACTTAACGTTCTGTAGTGCATTTAGTTATTGTTTAAGGCCATTTCAGTCGCCATACAGTAAACATCTGCCATCTTCTCATCAGTGACATGCCATTAAAATAGTCTCTGGGTCATTTTGTCATTAAAGATTTTGGACATCTTCTTGGAAACTTTTGATGCTTCTAAATGGTTAGCAGCATTTATGAAACATCCATGTCTTGAGGTTGTTTAGTATGATTCAATTTTGTGCGATTTGATTGGACAGGAATCACATGACTGATTTTTCTACTTTAGCCAATCTCCATAGACAGGTTTTTTAAATAGTGACTGCAGATTGAAGGAAAATAGTGGAGTAAAACTACCGATACAGCACTAAAAATGTACTCAAAGGAATGTAAAAGTACACTTTGTTAATTACAATTCCTAAGAAAACTTACTCAATTACATTAATTTGAGTATTTGCAATTGTTACTTTACACCACTGATTATATGCATTCAACTTTATGCTTACAATTGTATTTTATTATACTTCAGGGTTCATAAAAGCCTGCAAGCAAACATGTTAATGTGTTGACACAACAGCAAATTTCAGCTATAGGCCACAAACACCCATCAGACATTCATTCATTCATTCATTTTCTTGTCGGCTTAGTCCCTTTATAAATCTGAGGTCGCCACAGCGGAATGAACCGCCAACTTATGCCCTTCCAGCCGCAACCCATCTCTGGGAAACACACACATTCACACACTCATACACGATGGATAATTTAGCCTACCCAATTCACCTGTACCGCATGTCTTTGGACTGTGGGGGAAACCTTGGACTGTGGGCGAAGGCAGGGAGAACATGAAAACTCCACACAGAAACACCAACTGAGCCGAGGTTCGAACCAGCAACCCAGCGACCTTCTTGCTGTGAGACGACAGCACTACCTACTGCGCCACTGCCTCGCCCACCCATCAGACAGAGCTGGGTAAATTACTTATGAATTGTACTTATTCAATAATAATAATAATAATAACATTCTGACTATTTTTGGATTACCTTCAAATTAATTTTGACCAGACTTTTTAAAAATCTGAAGCATGGATCCCAAAGGAATTTACATAACATTTATATTTATTTTTTTAAGTTTTTTTATTTGAAATAAATAAGGCGGTTCATTCCGCTGTGGTGACCCCAGATTAATAAAGGGACTAAGCTAAAAAGACAAATTAATGAATGAAATAAATACATTTTAAAGCTGATAAATAATGGGAAAAAGTAGAATAGGATCCAAACTCAGGTCAGTGTCTTTACTCACACTATAGTGTCTGGGTGGCGCTAGTGAAAAAATAGCACTTGCCAACAAGAAAGACACTCTAAAGGATGGCTTAAAAGTGCCCTATAAAGAAAATCTATATGTACCTAGGCATAGTCGAATAACAATAGATTAGTATATGGAAATGTTCATATCGTGATGTAAATCTCATGTAAATTCCACAAGTGTAAAACCAAGCCTATCAGAACACAATACAGACTGTTGCGTTGCTCACAAGGCTTGCCCTTAGCATTTTCATGTAGCTATTTTAGGTCACATTCTATGTCATCAGGACTTGACAAACAGCCAAGTCATCATCAGTTCAGTAGCCACAACTGTTGCACACAGGATCATTAGTATTTTTCCCCAGGCTGCATTATACACTGGCCGAGAGAGCCTAACACGCTGCAATTTAAGAAAGCACATGCAATTACAAAAAACACCAGCAAATAAAGAAACTATCTCCATCAATTTGACAGCACATGTGTTGCAAATTTTGACACAAACAACTAAGGAAACGAGCAGCAAATTGGTCACAACACAAACAACTGAAGAAACGCTCAGCAAATTGCTCACAACACTTGCAAATATGCACATAACACAACAGAAATGTTTCTAGGGGACCCAAAACAATGGATGTATTATTATTATGCTATGACTGTTGCTCAGTGAAGTGATTGGTGGTCTTTGAAAGGTGAGTTGTTTTTTGGTTATTTTAATATCCTGATTACACGACATAAATAAACAACACATCCATATCTCAGCAGGGTCCGTCATGGTTTTGGGTCCCTTCGAAACATTTGCGTTGTGTTACTTTGCAAGTGTTGTGACCAATTTGCTAAGCGTTTCTTCAGTTGTTTGTGTTGTGACCGATTTGCAACTCGTTTCTTCAGTTGCTTGTTTTGTGACCAATTTGCAACACATGTGCTGTCAAATTGATGAATATAGTTTCTTTATTTGCTGGTGTTTTGTGTAATTGCATGTGCTTTCTTAAATTGCAGTGCATTAAAGGGCCATGACACCCCCCTCTTTCGGTTAAAGTCTACTTCAGAATTTTTTAAAAAATATGCATGATTAATGGGCGTGGAGCTACGCAAGCATCGGGCAGGAGTGGGCGTAGCCAACAGGGGAGAACGTGAGCGAACGAAGCTAGCTCACAAAATGAGACAAACCGTGAGGAGACGCATGAGTTTATAGTTTACAAAGTTAAAATGCAAAGAAACGAATATTATAATAATATTATAATAATGAGAAACCAACGCGTCATCATTGCACTTGCAGTACTGCGCTATGTCGCCGATTTTGATCCCCCCCCAAAAATCATTTTAAACCCGGAAGCTGAAATTAGCTGACTAAAGCTCAAAATTATCCAGTTTTCCCCACAATTAAAGCTGACAGGTGCTAACATTGTCTTAACTGATGCTCAACACACACAAATCTGTTAATATACAAAAAAAGTTCTCCAGGGTGTCCTGAACCTTTAAAGATCTCTCTGCCACCGTAGCATTAACTTACTTGGGACTTTGTAAAATGGTAGAGGCAGCAAAAATACAGCTGCACCAGAATGAAGGTTTTCTTTGCATTGCTATGTGGCATATACGGAATATCAATTTATTCAGCTCCACCCCAAGAAGCATAAGATATGTTTACCTGTATTTTTTGTTAATTTATTGTGTTTATTGTGTAATTTGCCAAATATGTTTTTAATGAATACACAAACAAAGACTACTGAGTATAAGTGTTCACTTAGTATAAAATGCATGTTTAATAATAATGTCATCTGACTCAGCCGTTTCTGTCATTTTTCAGAAGTAAAAGAACATCAGGACACTTTTTAACATCATCTGTTTATGCTGATGTTGATGGTACTTCCTGTTTGTGGTTTCATTTACATTACAGCATCAAAATATAGCACAATACATCTCTGTCAGTCTCTTTTGTTGAGTTTAATTATAATTTAGTCCATAATTTCCCACAATACAACTCAGGAGCAAAATAGGTTTCTCTGAAGGGTTTATATTAGATAGCTCACTCACTCAATCCAAGTAAAATAAACCTCCACCACTTAAGTTAAAAAGTTTTAACAAGGCATCTACTTGTGTGTAAAAATATCTTATAGACAAATATAGTATTTTTATTTTCACGTGTTTATTTGAGAGTAAGTCATGATGGGTGTGCGTTGTAAGAGACTGTGTGTGTTAGTGAGAGAGAGGGAGACAGAGAGTGCCCTGAGCTCTCTTCATGACCATTCCATATATGGTCAATATGGGACTTCTGAGTCAAGGGACATTTTTATGAAGTAATAAATGAGCATATTAAATCCTTTCTTAAGTTTTGCTTTAACTAACCTAAGACATACTAACTATGTAGATATCAGAGAACAATTTAACATATTGAATCAATGCAGTATATGGCACATTTAAAGGTGCAATAGAGTGCAATGATTCAATGTTAAATTGTTCTCTGATATCTACATAGTTGGTATGTGTCTTATAAGTTAAACTATTTCTCAGAAGTGGTTTTGAACATATAGGGGCCGTTTACACCTAGTCACATCATTTTATTTTTTTTTCTGAAAAGGGCAGGTTAGAGTGTATTCACACTAGGCACGGTTGTCTATACTTATATTTACTTATCAATCATCATAAATCAATAAAATAATCCCTTATAAATAATAATAGGAATGTAATAATTTTTACAGGGGAGAATAGAAAAGATATTGTCTGATAGAAAAAAAAATCTCATATTAACACATTTAAAAATAAAAGTTTATTATTCAGTCAAATTTACAATAATCTAATTTGCACAGCTTTTAGAATATACAGATCAATCATCATAAAACTTGATGAAACCACAAATCTTTGATAAATCTTTGATTAAAATATATTAAATGACGAAAATTAACACATTTAACCAGCAATTATTATAGTCAAATTCACAACAATCTCATTTGAGCTTGTATTTATATGCTCATATCAATTATTATAAAACTATGAGATAAAACAGAAGAAGAAACTTAATCTTTGTTATTCCAAGTCATGTTTATTATGAATATGTTAATGTGAACAATGAGCCTGAAAATAAAGTTATATTAATATCAACAGCAACACTCTCGCAAAATACCAAGCTGATTTAGTCGTTGCCTAACAACATAAAAAAATAAATAAAAAAAAACACACCGTGGTCCTTTTTTTCTTGTAAACAAAAAAAAAACAGCAATACTTTCTTGGCATATTAGACCTACCGCTTTCTGTCCGATATTGGTGAAGAAGTAATTTGTTGTCCATTCTTCCTTAAACATGAAATTCAGAGTGAGTTTTTTATTTTTTTGCCTGACTCATTTTCAGTCATTAACGGTCGAGTGCATTTTAATATCCGAAAGTGTTCTAATTCTACTGGTTGCACTAACTGTACCATGTGCATTACTGCCATCACATGGTGCTCACTTGTTTTGCGTCATTAATTTTACTAATTCTGAACCCAAACCATTACAGCATTTTAAAAACTTCCTTGCAGGCCAAACGAAAGTGTTCAGCAGACTGCATTTGGCCCGCGGGCTGTAGTTTGCCCACCTCTGTATTAGAAGGTTTTCTAAAGGTGCAGCAGGTAGTTGGCATATTTAATCAACTATAAGTAGTTTGCGTTCATTGAAAAGTAAGAATGATTAATAAATCCATGCGAAACACTACAAGCATATCGCGCCAAAGCTCAAGCAAACCACACTCTGGCACACCTCTTTCAACCAAGCAAGGGCTGGCCAAATGAACTGCACCCAGGCGTGATCCAAATGCACTCAGGCACATAGTCTGGTACACCCTAAAATTCCCTCCAAAATGCATGCAAAATGGATATAAAGCCGATCACTCAGACCACTTCAGGAGGTGCTCACGTTATGTCATTTCCATGTACTGAACTCTTGTCATTCAGCTATGTCTAGGTATAACCAGATTTTGATTCTAAGGCACTTTTATTAAATAATTTTAAACTCAAGTGTTTTAAAATAAAAAAATATTTAAAAAAACAATGACTATAAATGCATACCTGTACTTATGAAGTCATCTGGAAGTTGATCACCACAGTATCTAAACAGAATTGACACATAATTATCATTATTTTTCAGATGTTTTAAAATCATTTCTGAACTGTAAACTGTCAGCACTTAAATCCTAAGATTGTTTACTAATGTTTTTACCAATGCTTATAAAAACAGTAAGAGCTGTTGTTTACCTTCCAACAAAGCCTGAAACATCATCATAGCTGTCGTAGATCTCCAGGTGATCGCTGAGACAATCGGTGTCCTCCTCAATGTCAAAGTCTAGAAAGTGCAGGCGGATTCGATGGCCGAAGCGAACACGAATGTGCCAGTAGCAAATCTGCTCATCCTGGTACTCGTCTGGATAACCAGGAGAAACTAACACCTTCTCCGGATCTGTGTGCACTCCTCCACACTCTTTAGCTGTAAATTAACATAAACATTTAGAAACATAATGTATAGAAACTGTTCAACATACACTCCAAATATCTAAATATCTAAAAATTCTTTAGTCAAAAAAACTTTACTAGACAAACAAGTAAAATAATATAATAAATTAATAAAATTATTTTAAGAAACAATATTCCAAAATTAAGTAAGTTTTCCCCTAAAACAAGCTAAATAATCTGCCAATGGGGTAAGCAAAATCATTTTATGTGAAAATTAAAACCTAGATCATTTTTGTAGCATTTTTTTCCCATGTAATGAATGAAGGGGTCATTTATTTTCATTAGTTTGAGTCACAACTAGACCAGAAAAACTAATATGCATGAATAAGTATAAATGCATGCAATGCATCATGTGTTATGCTAAAGCAGACCATGACAAATCCAAACACTGACTGTGGTTTAAGTGGGTGTTTAGTGACAAACACACACTGAACCCTGCCCTGAATGAGGTAGTGACTGGGTGATAACGTACCCAGAGAATAAATTATTTTTCCTGGTTGCATTATGTTGCAATGAACTATCAGAAAAACTCAAACCAAACATTTCTCTTAGTTGTGCGTGTTGATTTATAAACAGTTTCATCAGATTAGATGATAATCATGTTTAGATTAATCTAGATTAAGAGTTTACTTTGTAAAACATGTCTGTTATTTAAACATCCAACATCTATCAAAGGGATTTGTGCGTCTCTTTGGTCAGGATTTACTCTTTGATGCTCTTTGAGATCACTGCTGACTCAAGTTCTCCATGGAGAGAATCTCTTTCACTGGCTCATTACAAATCAGGGGAACAGTGCCAGTCACAAACTCAGCTGGGTCTCTGGTAAAGTATTACCACACCTTGTAAAACCTTCACAGGCTTTGTTTAAATTATTCACAGTGAACCATTTTGCATTAGACTCTTCCAAATTCACACAAGGAAATAACAGCCAGAGAAAACAAGCAAGAATATTACAAGAAACTATATATTTTTTGACAACACTATGTCTATTGAAATGTTCAAAGGAGTATACTGTCATTTGCTGCTAAGGCTCATTGTATTTCTGTCCATCTGGCATGTCATGAAACAGCCATCACACTTTCCCAAAAACATTTAGTCATGGTAGTATTTTTCCAGAGCACATCCTATCCCACCCTTAGTTTGGAGACCAATGAAAGCCTGAATTATGATATCAATTAATCATCTTTACCTCGTGGAGATTTATATCTTACTTTCAAGCTAATGCCTACAAACCTAATTTGTCTAACTTTTCTATGTCAAAACAACTATCTGGTCACTATAGATCTCCCCACAGATTTGCCAGTCAGCCATTTCTCAAACTCACCCACAGGGTTGTAGCAGTAGACATCCCATCGCTCACTTTTGTTTAGCCGGTATCCGTAATCAATGATCCCAACCTTCCCGAAACCACAGTTGGAGCCAGCTTTAACAATAGGATAGCCCACACGTCCTTTATCAAGCCATCCGGCTGCACACACATGGAACCCTTTGGGAGAATGACAGTTGCTTTCACATTGTGCAAAAAAAGTCTACTTTATCTTCTAAATGAACACCAGTTTATCTAAATGCATCTATTTAAGAGATTTTAGAGATGAACAGTACAAAACAGTGTTGAGTAAAGTTACTTTTAAAAGTAATATATAGCAATCTTTAACCCATCTTAAAGGGCACCTACAATTCAAATCATCTGTTAGCTGTTTGGACATAACTGTGTGTAGGTATAGTGTGTCCACTGTCATATTGGAGTGATAGAAAGCCAACAAGTCTTTTTTTTTATTTCCTGACTGAGTCATTTGTGTGAGACTCATCATTTCAGAAGGGATTGAATAAACGCTACCACAAATGCATGAAATAAACTTGCTTGGAATTTTTGACTAATGAGCTGTATTTCAGCTTCATTCGTGTCTGTTTCTATCACTGACTGCTAGGGATGTAACGGTATTGTAAATACCGTCATACCGCAATATTAATTTTTTTCGATATTACCGTAGTGGCATGACTCGGTAAAACTATAGGTCTTCTGAGAAAATTTGCTCAGGCGAATGAAGCGAACGGGAGGTAGCGAAAACTACAATTCCCATCAGCCAATGCTTGACCATCATCCCTTGCGGTCTGTTGTCGCTACAGATCCAGTAATGCGGAAATGGAGTGTGCTGCTAGAAGCGGGGATGAAAAAGAGCTGGAAAACTCTAAAGCGGGTGTTGTCGCCGCGCGCATACTGAATAGCAGTGTTGTCGCGCGAGTTCTTATCAGCTGTGTTGTCGCCGCGCGCGTACTGAATAGCGGTGTTGTCGCGCGAGTTCTTATCAGCTGTGTTGTCGCGCGCGTACTGAATAGCGGTGTTGTCGCGCGAGTTCTTATCAGCTGTGTTGTCGCGCGCGTACTGAATAGCGATGTTGTCGCGCGAGTTCTTATCAGCTGTGTTGTCGCGCGCGTACTGAATAGCGGTGTTGTCAGCACACTGTTCAGATTGATGCAGACATGAGACCTCTATCTCACTCATGGTTTGTCCTCTCAAGTGGGGGAAAGACAATGCACAACGTTACCCACTGCTGTCAACCTGGGCCAAGTCATATCTCTCTTGTCCCAGAAACCTCAGTCCCAAATGAGAGGGTTTTTTTCTGTTGCAGGGGACATTGTAAATACCCAGAGATACCAGCTTTTACCAGATTATATTTATATGATAATTTCCTTTAAACCCATCTCTATCTAAGTGAGTGAGTGATTAAATGTTGAATGTGATGAGTTTTCAACAATACTAAATTGAAACTTAATTTTTTTACATGGTTTAATATGTTTTTGTTATTTAAATTGAAGTTCCTGTTTCAAAGCTTACAGAGAGATGACTAATTTGTATTTCATTGACACTTTTGGCACTTTTTTGGAGTATTTTCATAAGTTTTGTTTTTTCCTGTAAATGATTCAATAAATACCGTACCGTGACATTCATACCGAGGTATTACCGAACCGTGAAATTCTGATACCGTTACATCCCTACTGACTGCTGTTTATCTAGCGTAGCATGAGAAGCAGACACACACGTGGGAATGGTGGGTGGGGAGCAGCAGCTCATTTGTATTTAAAGACACAGGCTATACAAAAACAGCTAAACTGCACTTAGACACTAAAATGGGCAGATTCTGGAGGTTATAATAAATATTCTGATGGGTATTTTGAGCTGAAACTTTACAGACACATTCTGGAGACACAATAGGCTTATCTTACATCTAATAAAAGTGGTAAAATAGGTGCCCTTTAATCTTAATCTTAAAAAAAAAAATTAAAGATACACTCAAAATATGGCTGGTAGTTCAAACTACCTAGTTAAAACTAGTTGAAACAACACAATTCTTACAATTTTTAGAGGACAAATTAATTGTTTAATTTTCAATTCACTTAAATTTGGAAAATAAAAATGAGTAAGTTAACCTAACTCGTGTTGGGACAACATGAAGGAATTGTGTAGAACACTGCATTTTCTACAATGTAACATAAAACTATTTAAACATTACTTCGCTAGTTGGCAAAGTATTAGTGAGAAAAGGGGGTAGGGAAATGTCCTCGGGCAGGGATTCAAACTCAGGACACTCTTTTGTGCTACTCCACCATTTGGTTAATTTCATTTGGTTAATTAATTCCTTTCAGAAAAAAAGTTCAAAGCTCTTATAACAGCATCTGCACATTTTGGTTTCTGTTTAGACTGAATACAAATGTTCTCCGTGACAAAACTAATAACTGACGACGGATATCGGTTGTTTTAGGGGTATGAAGAATAAAAGGCTCTTGTGCTCTGAGGAACCATGAGTACTATTTACAGACAGCAAATGAGAGATAAAAAGCAAAGCAGACCTCCTGCATAGAGTGCCATAGGCCAGTACAAACCACTAAATGTTGTCATTACAGATCCGAGCTCACGTCTGGATCAAATTTACTCTTGCAGCAAAAAAATGGAGTCATTTTACTAGAAAACAGGTGTTGCTTCTCAGTCAGCACATGACAATGACTTTTACAGTTCAAACATAACACTGGGTGGCATGCGAAGAGTTTAAATCCATGTTTATATGATGTGTGCAAATATTTAATCTAGCCTATCTATGAGAATGTTATCACTCTACTTGCTGACGGATTCAGATGTGGCCTAAAAGAGTTTCTGATTGGTTACTGTTAGACAATAAAGCCTATTCACTGCAATCCCAGTAACAGGACATCAACGCCATTGCTGTAGGCCAGACCCTGCATTGCTGTTTCTTTTGGCATCTGATCTAAGTGTGATTTGTAAGTGCGATACAAACCAATTTGGCGAGCAGCTTCCAGTTGATCAAACGTAGCAAGAGTGCCCCCCTCAAAATTGCACACGGCCTTGGCTTCCTTGTATGTCAGCTGATATCTTCCCTTGCGAGATTCGCGGTGGTAAACTCCAGCTGCTTGCTCTGTAAGGAGAGAGAACATACTTCTCATTTGGCAACATTATCAGCTTCAAGGACCCAAGTGGAGTTATCTGGCTCTGTTCAGTGTCTCAGATCAGTGATTCTACTTGTCTACTTAAATTGCGTCAGACTAAAAACAGAATGCATGTTTTAGAAACTGCCCAGTGTTTTAAAGGAACACTCACTTTTTTTGGGAATTAGGCTTATTTTATAAATCACCTAAAGTTAAATCGTTAAAATTACATATTTTTAAATCCATTCAGCTGATTTCTGAGTTTGGCGGGGCACTTTAAGCTTAGCTTAGCATAAACAATTGAATCGGATTAGACCATTAGCATCTCATTTAATAGTTTTAAATAAGTCTTTTGATTTTTTCCTATTTAAAGTATTAAACTTCTGTACTTACACTATCTACTAAGACCGAAGTAATATAATTGTGCCTGCTCCAGCCATGGTACAGCAGCAAAGTCCCTTGATTACTTCACCAGAAAGAGAGTATAGTTCATAGCCATATTATAACCCAAAAAATAGTTATTTTAATTATCTGTTGGTCTTGTAACTACAACCAACTCAAGCTTGAAATAGGAAAATTATCACAACTCTTTATTGATTATTTTAGCCAAATGTTAATGGTCTAATTAGTCTGATATGCTTAGCTAAAACTAAGCTGGCTTCAATGTTTTACTCTAAGTGACATAAAAAATGCGGAGTGTTCCTTTAATGTGCAAGACATCCTGAATACATGAGGGACAAACATTATGTACATCCAGTTGCTGTTGTAAGATTAGTAAACCAGATGCAGACTTCGTTTTGGGCTCTGTCTGCTGCTCACAGAACATCATGCTGTTTTGCAGTTGTTTTTAGGCATACATGCATGCATAACCTTGAAGAAGTTGGATTCCATACCAAATTACTTATGAGCCAATACTTTTACTCTGCTGGCTTTAAACATCAATGTTCTCAGAACACTGCAATCATTAGTGAGCTCTAAACATCTTTTTTGGGGGGGAAGTAAGTCGGAGAGTCATTTGAAGTTAATACTGTAGCTTATGTACTGTAAGTGCTTTCATATGTGCAGTGGTCAAGTCACTGTTCCACTAAAAGTAAACAAATAAAACTGTACACAATGTGGGAAATATATAGTGACTTTCAGGGAAAATAAATCTGTTACAGTAATTTTATTGTCTTCTAATTTAGTATATGTACATCTAAATATACAAATAATCTATGTAAAGTTAATAATCTATAGAAAAGTTATTTTATACCATTAAAGGAATTTTCAACAAAGCCATAGAAGAACCTTGTTTTTTACAAAAAACAAAAAACTTTTAGGAACCATTGAGTGGCCAGAAAAGAACAATTACTTTATAAGTGTACAGGATATATTTGTAATGTGTAAATGTATTAGTAAGTGAAGCTAAATTAAATATACAATCTAAAAGTCAGATATAAAAAGAACATGATATGGACAAATAGGAAAACCGGGGCCAGTTAAATAAACATTGCCTACATGTTTAACTAATTAGTAGTTAGCCAATGGGTAATGGTCTGTCTTGCTTTTTAGATTCAAATTAGAGTAGTCAACCTTTTTGTTACTGATTCAAAAGTTATGGCTACTCTTGAAAGAAAAAAATGTAACTTTTTCTGGGTTAATTCAACTCAAATTGGGTAAAATATAGACAAACCCAATCTTGGATTCAATTTGGACTAATTAATTTAATAAAAAATATTAACCCAGTCATTGGATTTTTTACATTTTACCACAAATTGTATTGAAATAGCACAGTATTTTATTTATTTATTATTATAAACCAGTGTATGCAACTTGCACAAATTGGTGTGAAAAAAATAGAAACCACACATTAACCACACTTTTGCCACACAAACCATATTGACAACAGTATTTTAGTTTTTCCAGACCTAAAGAAACTGTTAATAACTATAGTAGTTTTTTTTTTTTGTATTATCAATTTGTATTCAAGTGGAAGAAAAATAAACAACTTATACACTCTTAAAATATTTCCATGAAGAATCGTCAATCTTCATGGAAACTTTTCATCCCACAAAAGGTTCTTATATTAGAAAATGTTCTTTAGATTATTAAACTGTTCTTCACAATGACAAAATGGTTGTTTGAAGTAGGGCAGCGCAGGGCACAACGTAACGCAGGGTTAAATGTAACAGAGTTTTAAGGTATTTGCTCAGGGTTAACCATGGCATGCTTCCAAGTTTTCACCAGTGTCAGCAGATGTCTTCCTGCCAATTAATGAAAATTGTCGGCGAAATTTGGATGAGAAACACAGGAGAAACCATTTTTGCAGCATAAAAGTATTTTTTATTATACTCAATATTTTTTTTATTTAAAAGAAATCTGTGAACGTATGAACATAAAATCTTATATTGTTGTGATCACCTTCTTCTAGGCTAAAAAGTGAAACCATTTTGAAAGATGTACACACAGTGAAAACACCACACAGCGGGGGTTAGTAACAGGGTGTTACAATTAAGCCACAAATTTAGTTGGACACCAATTAAACCCACAAAACATTTTTTGATTTTTGAGTGTAATGTTGAGAACTTCTTAAATAAAAATATTTTTTAATAGAAAATATTGTTATAATAGAATTTTTTTAATTGTTAATAATGCAAACAAATGTGTTGTATGCATTTATCCATAATAATAGATAAATGGACAATAATGCAAATAAATTCAAATGTTTTTTCCAATAAATAAATAAAAATACTGTGCTTTGTAGAATAAAAAGGAAATGAGCCAAGTACTGAGGAAATATAGCTATTATTTAAAGTAAACTGAATTTAAATTAATTGTGTGAAATCAGCCTTTAAATGCATGTTACAACTAACCCCCTGTATGTTACAACTTGCCCCGCAGGTGGGGTAGATAGAAACAATTTTACTCCTGGCACTTTTGGCAATACTGCACAGAAACCATAATTTCAGTGCTCATTTGTAGGAAAGGCTTGTGTGTTGTTGGTAAAAAATATGGTTTGTCTAACCCCATTACTTAGTTCATTATTTGACCAAAACCAAAAAGTGTTACTTTGTGCCCCGCTCTCCCCTATATTTTTCACTAAAACAACAATAGACCAATATCGCACTTTCATGGCATCACTGGTTCATTCTATTTTAAGAAGTATCTGAAGGACATTGGTTGTCCAAATATTTGTTAGCTAATCTGAAGGTTTCAGTTTATGATTTTAATAAAGCATTTACAAAAGGCCTGATTTAGAACCCACACTAGCTAACCTAAGTTCAGTTTGAAAAAGTTAATTTCAGCTTGAGGGAATTATAAACCTTTATTTCGCACACTATTTATTTAACATGGTATAAACCAAATGCTAACGTTACAGCTAACCAACAATAAATAGTCCATCGTGTGTTTATACCGTTCCTGATATCACCATGAGTTTATCCTGAAATGACCATGAGTTTCTGGGACAATCCTTAAAGTGTTGTGAGGTGCCTTGACGTTAAGTTGTAATACACCGTGACAAAATGAAGTAATTTCCCTCTGTTTACAAGGTATCTTCAGACTGCCTGCACTGACAGCCTTCACAGAACTTTTAACATGCCCCTGGGGCCAACGCGACATGTACGAAACACACACACGCGGCAAAATAGTAGCCAATTGAACGGTAGTTTGCGGTACAAAACAAACAAAATACCTAAACTAGACAAATCCCGAAATCCAAATAAAAAATAGTAGACTACTGTTCTACTAAACACAGTAGCCTACTTGAAATCACAAGTAAAAACGAAAAGAACTGAAGGAAATACCCAGCCAGATGGAGTTGTGCAGTATCCCATTCTTGTAACCCCAAGCTTCAGTCTCCTTTAGAACGATTAAAACGCCAAACACGGCTGTTAGCGCGCGCATGGCTCTCAGTCCGCAGTGGCTCATACAGATGTTTGCGCAGCTGTCACGCACTCAACTGTGAACATCAGGCGAAACACAAGTTTAAATGGTTCCCCCCTTCCTAGGCTGCGTTATGTGGGGTCTGACGTGGGATTTCAGTAAATGATGACGATAGTACGGGCTGGATCGGGAAAGACCGCGGTGATGTATTATACAGCAAAAAGCAGTACAATTTACTATATAAATGAATTAATGTAGAGGAATATTGCTTTAAGTCATTGGGATTTTCTTGAAAGGGGCAGTTCACTTAAAATGTAAGTTCTGCTCTGATTTACTTACCTCCCAGTCATTCTAAATCTGAATGACTTTCTTCAGTCGAACAGAAAACAAGATATTCTTGAAGATTAGTGGTTGGTAATGGGGTTGTTGTTTTGGGGTCAATTGCCTTTTATTGAGGGGAAAAACACTGTGGAAAAGACAAGTTCTTTTATGTTTCAGAGAAGAAATAAGGCCATAAGTTATAGAATGTTAGGGTGAATTGTTTGATTCCTATATGCACCTTAAAAGTCTCTTCACAGTTTACAGAACACTTTAAGAAAATGTTCCAATACTTTTTCCCCCCTAGAAGCCATAGAAAAAAACATGTTTAATCCCTAATAAAAGAGCAGGTAAAACTATAGTTTAAAGAACATTTTAAAAAATCTAAAGAAGGATTAAATGATTAGGATTAAAGTTGCATTTAAATACTTATTTAAAAATGTAGCATAAAACAAGTATAAAACTATTTTAATTGATAAAGATGAAGTAATATATTTTCAGACATTTATTACAACACATCAATGTTTTAACTTCAGAGGAATGGAGAAATCATTGTTTGGTGGAATAACTCTTGTTTTCAATCACAGCAAATTATTATTAATGTTGTTGTCATTAATTATTATTATTATTATTATTATTATTGCCTGTTTTGTTTTTCTGGCACATTTAATGGAAAAAGTCTCAAAATTGAAATCTGAAGTAATGCTTTATAATTAAACAAAAATTCACATTTTACAGAAACCTATAACTAAAATAATTCAAATATGAGAATTTGTAAGCAGTCTCTTAATATATATTTTTTTCTAGATTTACATATTTTTTGAAATTGCACCCTAAACACAAAACTGGACAGAAACTCAATAATCTGAGCTCTCATTAAAATCATTACGCAACTGTTCCTTTTTTAATAGAATTTATTTTTGGCAACATATAAAGACTGTCAAGACTAATTGCTACCAGGCTTCATCAAAATAACACTTGTGGATTGTGTCTGACTTAGATTTAAGAGCTGTTGAGTCACGCGTTCTCTTTCACAGAGCGGTCTGCTGCATAAATTTAAAACCGTTATTTCCATTCCTCCCTCTCATAATTTTGTGCCATTCTCTAACACTGCCCAGCTCACTGTGTGCTTTAATGCAGGCACTTTAGACCGGTATGAACCTACAACACACCCTCAAGACTGAGCACACTTCATGAAAACTGCCAAAGAAAAGTTTAAATAGGAACTCCTCACATTTATCTGTTTCATTGATGAGGTAATGTATTTATTATATTAATATTGGCTTACACGCTATGCTTTGTGACGTAATAATGGATTACTTAATTAGATCATTTACTATTTTAATTATAATACATTGTGCCCAAATTAATTACTTCCAGAATAACAGTTTACAGGGCTGGGTTTTAGTATAGCCACTCATAACTCTCTCCTAAAAGTGTACAGGAAGTAAAAAAAAAAAAAAACATTAACTGTATCACAGAATAGAGGATGAGCTGGATGTCTTTAAAATATTACTATCATCTTTTCACATATTAGCATGGTTGCCAGGATTTCACAATGAAACTAGTCCAATGGCCTCATTATCACAATAATACCAAGACTCAAAATATGCCATGCCAGTTCATAAATTACATATTTAACACGACTATACACAGTTTGATAGTTAATATAAATATTCTGTTTTAAGATTGAGCACCCAGCTGTCATGATGTAAGTAACAAGTGCTGTCCAGTTAAAAATGTAATGTGGGAAGGCAAATGCAGAATAAACTCCATATTGTCAAATGAATTTAAAATGACAGATATTTTTAAGATATAAAATAAAACCTTCCATATTTTCTTAATTAAGTTGTAGTCGACTTAATTTCTTCAGTATATAATTAAATTGCCTTTTATTTAGCAGCAATCATTTAGAGTCCTGCTTCTGCATGGGGACCTTTAATATTAAGTAAGCCGACCTGGGCACTTCTGGTGAACTCAAATGCCTTTATAAACAAGCTGCATTTCAGATCTGGGTTGTTCAAAATCAACGATTTACAATCCTGATTGAGCCACAATATAAGGTGTCACACATTAGACAAGCAGTACTGCATTAAATTTCATTTGTTCTACGCCATGTATTTAAAATATGAAGAATTATTTTACCATAGTATTGTCTATGGATTCAGCTTGTGTTCCTCACAGTGCTTGTTTGAAGTCTGCATGAAAACAAAATATCATTTTATTTTGCTAGCGCACATTAGTTGAATAATGAATCTGTTTAAGTTAATCCACTGAAAAAATAAAAGTTGTTTCTGCTGCAATAATCTTAACCACAATCATTTTTGTGTTATTATGCAAGAAAGAATATTTACAAAGATACAATATGAACAAAGAGACAAAAAAGTTGCATAAATAAAATTCCAGCAAATTAAAAAAGTTTAAATGATTTACACCAAGAAAGAGTGCAATATAATTTTTAGAGTCCTTTAAGGAGCTTACACATAAATCAAAATCTTTTCTGAAAATAAAAAAGTAAGAGTGTTTTTTTTAAAAAGTACATTTATAGATGTAAAATGTAGCCAGAAAAAGCAATAAATTAATAATAAATTGACAATGACAAGGACATTCAGAGAATATCATTTTTGGGGAAATACAAAAGTTTGGAAAGAAGAATTCTTTATTAGAAAAGTCAACCCAAAACACTTTACAGTAAGTGCACTGCCAAAATAAATGATCTAGTGTTTCGTCAATCATTCATTCATTCATTTTCTCTTCGGCTTAGTCCCTTTATTAATCTGGGGTCGCCACAGCGGAATGAACCGCCAATTTATCCAGCACCTTTTTACGCAGCGGATGCCCTTCAAGCCGCAACCCATCTCTAGGAAACATCCACACACTCATTCACACATATACACTACAGACAATTTAGCCAACCCAATTCACCTGTACCGCACGTCTTTGGACTGTGGGGGAAACCGGAGCACCCGGAGGAAACCCGGGATAAATTATTAGATAAAAATAATATTTCTGAAAAAGTAAAAACTGTTGCCAATCTATGTCCCCAAATATACTATTCCAAAAACCTATGCAAGCATATAAAGACATCTGAGAACTATTAATTACTAAGCAAATATCTTTGTTTGACATAGAACTGAGAAGAGTTTGGTCAACAAAAAGGTTTGTGTCGTCAAAAATAAAAGAATCTAATGAAACTTTAGGGCCAGATTTGACAACCATAACCCTCCTACTATTAGACTGCTAAGAGGTGAGGATGTGCAAAGCCATGACCCTACTCAATATTTATTTTAATTTTGTAAATACATCAACATGCTGAAATAAAAGTCTCAACAACTTCCAGTTCAGGCAGATTTTAAACAGACTTTTATCTAATGCTCCAGTTCTTCAACAACTAAATGAATGCTTGGGTCTATATAACGAACTATATTTTGATTCAATTAATATCGATGCTGTAAAAAGAAGCTTGTAAAATTAGTCACATTTACATTTTACCAGAGGTTTACCAGAGGTTGAAAAGTATTTCCATGCATATGATGCATTTGTTAACAAAGAAAAACACCATCCTAGAACATTTTTTAAACTAACTTGTTAGAGTAAAACACTTTAATGTAACCATTTAAATAGAACTGATGCAATATGTTAAACTTTCATGAAACAAATAAAAAATAAACTTGTGGTATGAGGTTAAGAAGCCCCAAAACTGTGTGAAAACTGCAAACTTGGCAACCCTGCATATGAGAGGTCTTTATTCCATTAAATAATCCTCAAAGTTTCAGGGCTTAAAACACCTTCCTTGTAATGTGACATCACAAGGGTGCTTCATTTGCATATACAACACCTCCAGAGCATAGGATCCACCCACTAGCATTGACTCACTCTTGGTAACTTGTAGACTGGATGCAAGTATTGTGTTGTGTCTAAAAAGCAAACAGAAGTGATTATCTTCACTGCTGCTGCCTACAGGGGGAATTGTTTACAAATGCATGCAACCCTGAACTTTTGTTTTGACGTGTCAAATTTAAACAGCTTGTGTTACATTTCTGACCTCAGAAAAATCTTAGAATCAAGAAAGAGTTGATGGTTTATCTTAAAGATTGGCCCCATTTTATATACATAAACGTGTGTGTGTGTGTGTGTGTGTGTATGTCAAGATGGCAACAGAGACTGCATAAAAAGCCCTTAGAAGAGAAAAGGTCGGCATATTTTCAAACTACAGCTGATCAAAACATTATAAAATTGGTGAGTGATCTTCGAAGTCGATCTCTCTCTCTCTCTCTTTCTCTCTTTTGTATGTTGTAGTGCTGTATTTATAGTAATTGTAGTGTATTTAATGTGAGAAGGGACTCGCATATCAAGAGTGTATTTTGTGTTGGCCACTCTTTGTATCTAAATTACTTTTTGGTTGACCATCTGTTTCTAATGCATCTGTTTTCGTTATTGCAGCCAAGCTCAGTAAAATGAAAGAAAGAAGAAATGCCTGCATGTGTTTAGTGATTTTCCTAATTCGCAAACACAACATTAATCTGATAGTGTTTGCTTTGCTTTGACTTTTTCGGGGTTAATTATTGTCATATGCTGATTGCAGTAGATTGAAAGCATTTCATGTGGAGAAAAACCCAGTGTATTTTAATACGAAGCTAACGCACCCCTCCCATCAGGGCCAATATACAGCCATATCGCACTGCTACTCATGTGATATTGCTCACATTATATATATCTCCAGGTTGGAGGAAAGTCCTTTCCCCAGGTGGAGGAATTCAAGTATC